CTGTCCAGCACGAGCGTCTCTAGCTCGCCGAGGTCGCAGGCAATGTACTCGAGCGCGGCGTCGGTGATGCGCGGACACCACGATAGGTCGAGCGACTTCAGCTTGCGCAAGTTCTCGGCTATCAGCTCGACACCGTCGTCCGTCACCTTGCTGCAGCCGGACAAGCTCAGCTCGGTGAGGTTGGGCAGTGCGTGCACGATGTTGACGACGCCGTGGTTGGTCACCTCCCAGCAGGAGGTGAGCCGGAGCACGCTGAGGCTGTAGCTCTGCTTGGCGCTGAAGTAGGACAGCGCCGAGTCGGTGACGTGGTACGCCTGCAGGTTGAACTCGCGCAGCGACGGCAGCAGCTGCGCGATGGCGCCGACGCTGTCGTCGGCGACGTTGATGCAGTCGGCGATCGCCAGCGCTTCGATGTTCGAGCTGAGGCACGACCAGAGGCCCGCCTCGGTGATCTCGTTGCAGCCGGACAGCTCGAGTCGGTTGACGTTGGGCAGGTGGTGCAGGATGCGCTCCAGGCCGCGGTCGCTGGCGTTCGAGCAGCGCATGCTCAGGCAGCGCACGCTCTTCTTCGCCGAGTTGAAGTTCTCGACGAAATGATCCATGTCGTCGTCGGTGGCGGCGAAGAAGCAGATACTGTCGAAGCCGCGTCGCTGCAGGCTGTAGTAGTGCTTGAGGCGCGCGTCGGCCGACTGCTGCAGGCCGCCGCCGCCAGCGCCGCTGCTGTAACCACCGCCGCCGCCGCCGCCGCCGCCGCCGCCGCTGCTGCTCCACTCCTTGCAGTGTATGACGGCGGTGACACCCGTCCAGAAGCGCGGCTGGTAGATGATGTCGCGCCACTTGGCGCACACCTGCGCGAGCAGGCAACGCTCGTAGGCGCCAAAGTACTCGAAGAAGCGCACGAGAAACTCGCCGTTGAGCCAGATGTTGCGGCGCTCCTCGTCGCCGCAGTTGTAGGAGAAGGCGCCGATGGCGACGGCGCCGATCGGCGACGTTTTCGTGATGCTCGGCGACGTGACGACCGGCGTCGGCGACGTCACCGGCGGCGGGCTGGTCGGGGAAGTCTGCGCGGCGGCGGCTGCGGCGGCTGCGGCGGCGGCCATGCTGTTCATGCGCTCCTTCTGCTCCTTGCTCTCCTTGCTGACGCGGCCGCGGTGGTTGCGCATACCGAGTCCGTTGAAGCCCTTCACTAGCTCGCTGAGTGTCGCCTTTGCTCCGCCCGAGGTGGCCATCATGGTGCGAACTCACAGCGTCGGTGTCGGCTCCCGCCGCCAGCCCGGTTTAGAGGACGCCATGTGAGGAGGATGAGGAGGAGGAGGAGGAGGAGGAGGAGGAGGAGGAGGGGTTCGTGGGAGGAGTGCGCCACGAGTCGGCGAGCGCCGCCACAGCTCTGTTCGAATAACAAGCACTTAGTAGTTGCTAACTGCTGCGTGTAGCTGCTGCGTATATCTGCGTGTAGCTGCGTGAAGCTGCTGACTGCTGCGTGTAGCTGCGTGTAGATGCGTGTAGCTGCGTGTAGCTGCACACGCAGTAGTCAGCAGCTACACGCAGCAACTACACGCAACTACACGCAGCAGCTACACGCAGCTACACGCAGCAGTCAGCAGCTACACGCAGCAGCTACACGCAACTACACGCAGCAGCTACACGCAGCTACACGCAGCTACACGCAGCAGCTACACGCAGCTACACGCAACTACACTCAGCAGCTACACACAGCTACACGCAGCAGTCAGCAGCTACACGCAGCTACACACCACGCAGCAACTACACGCAGCTACACGCATCAATCAGCAGCTACACGCAGCTACACGCAGCAGCTACACGCAGATACACGCATCAATCAGCAGCTACACAGCTGCTGCGTGTAGTTACTGACTGCTGCGTGTAGCTGTTGCGTGTATCAGCTGACTGATGCGTGTACTGCGTGTAGCTGCTGCGTGTATCAGCTGACTGATGCGTGTAGTCGTGATGCCGCGCGGCGATACTCTACGCTGTAGTAATCCGCGATCGTTATATTGGCGAATGAATCGTATATCTGTCGCGTGGAACTCACTGCGACGGCTTGAGACAGTGTAGTTACGCGCACGATGTAGTATTCACAGTGTAGCTATCAGATGCTAGAACGTGGTCATCCACTGAAATGTGTAGTTGTCTGCTAGAACACTGTCGTCTGTTCGAATGCGTAGTTGTCTGCCCGTAGGTTCCCTCGCGAATGAAGTGTTGTTATGTATCCGTCACGTCAACACCGATGCTTCTCCGTGTAGAGCAGGAACACACGCGACGAGCGATAGACACTGCGACGCAACACAGAGGTAGAGGGAGCGCGGAGGGAGCAGGAGAAAGGGACAGAAAGAGAGAGAGAGCGAGGGTTGAGCGAGAGAGTGGGTTGAGAGGGAGAGAGAGGGTTGAGCGAGAAAACACTTTCACCACGCGTTATCAGGAGGCTGTGAAGCCAGTGCCCTTCACGTACGATGCGGTCGCCACGCATGCACGCTCACACGCGCACGCACACACAGCCGTTCGTCAGCACACTAGATGATCACTCGATGTCGCCTGTCACGATCGCGGTGTCACATATCCGCACGCACGCACGCACGCACGCACGCACGCACCTGCAGCGCGTATCGCACGCGTCTACACACGACCGAGACAGGTCCAGGCTCGCGAGTACGGGAGCACTCAGTAATACGCGGCCCGACTACCGCGAGTAGATCTAACCCTGCTGCTTCTGCTGCTGCTGCTGCTGCTCGTGCCGCCCATGCCTCCGCTGTGTCCAGCCATCTCACGATGACTCAGATATGTGCTAGCGGGTAAGCGTATATTGACGCTGCTGCTGCTGCTGCTGCGCTCTCGATCTTGTTGCTGCTCCCTCGGTCATCAATAATTCGCCAGTAGCAGCAGCCTCATAGAAGAGAAGATGCGCGCACACAGGGATGCTGCGTGAGTATGTGCGCAGCAGCAGCAGCAGCAGCAGCAGCAGTAGTAGTAGTACATGTAGTAGTAGCATCATCATCATTATCATCATCATCACCTTCACCACCATCATCATCATCATCTCATCGCCACCATCATCATCACCATCATCATCATCATCAACATCATCATCATCAGCAGCAGCAGCAGCAACGAGAACAGCTGCACCGTGCGGCAACCAACGCCATCGTCAATGACTCGTTATATAATATAACAATATCGAAATCGCTATATCTGCTCCATCGTTTCTAAAATGTCGATTTCATCATCATGGAAATGTGAGAAAAAAAAACTAGAGAGAATAAAGTCGAGTTGAGTAAGAGATCTCATATAAGTCGTTTTTACTTTACGATGCTGCACATTTGTACTTGCCTATATAATTGTATGCGTGATAGGTAAAAAAATGCTCGGGAATACGTTCATTCAAAGCTTTTAGACTACAAAGTGAAAGTGTCGGGTCGAATGTTTCAAAAAGCGTTTACTTTCGATGCTCTGCGGCGATGTTGTGACGTATACGTCGTCATCAATAAATGAGCCTTTACACAGAACCGCCGTTATACAGAACCGCGGCGAAAAGCAAGGTTGTTTTTTCGTTGAGCAAATATAGGCTTGATGCATATGTTTTATTTTCAAAGCTAACGTTTAGTTAATGTGTAGTGAGTTATTTACTTATGTTTTTACAGTGGTTTGTTACAAAAATGTTCATGGAAAGACATCTTTAACTAATAGCGTCGTTTTACTACCGGCTCGTTCGCATAAACTCTTTACCTAATAAATTTACTTACATCGAATGTTGACATGAAATAATCAATAATTTGAGCAGTAATTAAGAATAAGTAAATAAAACTTCTTTTGCTCATGTATAAATTCACACGTCTTCTACGGAAGTAATAGCGTAAAAGAAATATTTACGCTTTCGCTTTTCGTATATGCCGTTTTTCTAGACGCCGCGTTCGGTTCGCGCATTTGCTCTGATCCGTGGCAGCAAAACTTGCGTGCGTGATGGTTGTTCCCGAATCGCCTGCCCATGCACTCTTGTCTACACCATAAACAGTTGCTAGCGCGGGGGACTCAGCAACAGAATCTGATATACACCTACTCGTCTAATTAACTCATAAATTTGAATAAATTATGATGAAAGGAAGCAATCTTATGCATACGAAGCTCGGCGCTGTGTATTCGTGCTGATGTTACTACGATACCACAACTATATATCGTCATGATATGAGTTATGGGAATGTTAAAATAATACATTTTGCCTGATTTTATGTTTTCCGCTTGAAATTTCGTGGGAAGGCTCCTTTAAGCGCTCGTTTTTTTACGGTAACGCATGCGCACGAAACGAACGGTGCCCACGCACTCACTCTATGTACTGTCATCCGAGTTCACTTGCTAACTATATTGCTAACCTTCGTGTGATTAAAGCATTTCTCCTCAAGAGACACGGCCGACGATTTTTGCCGTAATGTCTGTTAAACATTTGAGAGAGAGAGAGAGAGAGAGAGAGAGAGAGAGAGAGAACATTA